GATCCCTAGGGCCAGGGATTCAAAATAGTGATGCAAAAGTTCCATACATCATCACAGGCGATGGATGAGGCCCGAGTTAAGAATATAGTGGATGCACTATTTCCCACACACCCACTAAGAGCAGATACAGTGTTCGCCGAGGAGCAAGCCGAGGCACCGCTGTTTTCGACAGACAAGCTGAAGCTAGCCCTGCGAAGCATGAAATCCGGCAAGGCTCCAGGCCCAGATGGCGTACCAGATGGCAGGTTAGCAGCGCAAACGAGCCCTGATCTCCTGATTAACATGTTCAACAGCTGCCTTAGGGGTCTTCCCAAGCCAATGGAAGAAGGCGAGACTGGTGCTTATACCCAAGGGTAAAGGGGGCCCAAACTCTCCTTCATCCTTCCGGCCACTCTTCATTCTAGACACAGCAGGAAAGATGATGGGGAGTCTGCTCAAAATACGCTTGACCTCAGCCATAGAAAGANAATACGCTTGACGTCAGCCATAGAAAGCGAGGGAGGCCTTTCACCCCGACAACATGGCTTCAGGAAGGGACACTCAACTATAGGAGCAATTGGCGAAGTAGTCGAGGCGGTACATAAGGCCGAAGAAGCCTGCCACCAGGCGCGGCCAATAGTGCTGCTAGTCACACTGGACGTCAAGAACGCCTTCAACTCGGCAAGAGGGAACGACATTCTGGAGGCCTTGGAACGGTCATTCAAGGTTCCAGCATATTTGCTAGATATGATCCGGGACTACCTCAGAGACCGTTGGCTTTTGTACGACACAACACAAGCTCAGAGAAAGAGACGTACAGTAAAACCCGCTTAAGTACCTCACGAAAAATGTCAGCTTTTTGAGGTACTTAGGCGGGTTGGGTACTTAAAAGAACCCGCTTAAGTACCTCGATACGGGTATTTAAGCGAACATAATTATTGAAGTAGTTGCATCTTCTTGTTAACTTGCATAAATATGTAAATCCTTGATTAAAACATGAACATTTAATGAAGAATACGTTATTTAAGCAGATAAAAAAATAAAGAAAAAATGTATAAAAAAATAGGTAAAGCAATTGTATGTAATTGTTGAAAGAATTAAATTCTTTAAAAAGTCATTGATTATACGTATTTATCAGAGCTGTGTAATGATTCAATCAATTGGGTGTGCATTCTCATTTTATTCGTTTCAAAAATGTGATTGTTTGATATAAAAAATTTAAAACCAATCTTGAGATTGGTTACAAATTGTAAACACAAAATATGTAGTGTGTTATGGAATGGTTGACACCCAATCACATAGAGAATGTGAATACAAAAAAAAACTCAATCATGTATGATTGTACGTTTTTGTAATGCAATCTGTCATTATCATTCAGTACTAATACTATTTGTTGTATCAGGGTTGAGATTTTTGTACTCAAAATGTGAAACAAGAAGATTGCCATGTCACTTGAAATAAGTAAACAAATAAATATTTGGTGCTAAAATATTTTTCTAAGTGTTTGGCCGAGCTTCTGCTCAAACTTGAGGCACAAATGGAGACACCTATGTACATATTTAAGGCTCGCTCCAAACACCAAATGATTTTATAAGAAGAGTTTTCAAGGCAGAAATATACTCGAAGGTTTGCCATTGCGTGCCGAAGGACGACTGCTATTTTGGGTTATGATCTGACCAAGTTTTAACTATGGTCCTATGGAGTAGAAGTACGCACATGTAATCACTGCTACGGCGGCTGCCGTAAGTACATGCTATACATATGTATGTACACATATTAGATAATTTGTTCTCAAAATGCATGAAAACTATAGTATGCTTGCAAACAATTAATAACATTTTATGATAAACAGTTTTCCAAATGTATTTGCACTTCAAATTTGTGTTTTAATAAATTATTATTGTAAATTATTATTTAAATAAATAGATATAAAAAGATTTATACTTGACTTTTCTTCATTTGTAACAAATGCCAGATGTAAACAAAATGAAAAAATAATTGTAATTTTACAAATTTGAAGCAAACGGGCGTTCTTTACAATTTACAAAAAAATGTAGTTCGGGATCGAATGCGCATATTTCTTTTTCCAATATCAAATGCCCCTAATAAGTGTTAAACCACTAAATAGTTTAAAAAACCCCAAGTGGACAGCATCTATACAGATTTCTCCAAGGCGTTTGATAAGGTATCACATTCAATTTTGCTTCGTAAATTAAGAAGCATTGGTTTCCATTCGGTTTTCTTAAATTGGTTAAAGTCATATCTTTCAAATAGAACCCTGTTTGTTGAAATTGAAAACTGCAGGTCTTCTCAATTTGCCGCTACTTCGGGGGTGCCCCAAGGCAGTGTGCTTGGTCCGCTGTTGTTCGTCCTGTTTATTAACGATATCGGGTCCTGTTTCAATAACTCTGATTACCTGCTGTATGCCGATGATCTGAAACTGTTTCGTAAAATCAATTGTGTCTCCGATTCGCGGTTACTTTAAGAAGATCTGTTTAATCTCGAAGTATGGCGCCAAAAAAATATGTTATCCCTCAATATAAAGAAATGCTTCCATATGACCCTCGCTAAAACATCTAAAGTTTTTCTAACTAACTATTATATTTCAAATGTACAACTCGCTTCTGTTAATGACTTTGTTGATCTTGGTGTCGTTTTTGACTCTGGGTTCACCTTTGTTAATCACATATGCCATATTCTTCCGAAGGCTTACAGGAACCTAGCTTTTCTGCGAAGGATTTTAAGGATCCCTACACAAGGAAAACCCTCTTTAACTCTCTTGTTCGTTCAAAGCTTGAATATGCCTCGGTTATCTGGAGCCCTATATATAATTGCCACGCACTTCGTATCGAACGTGTCCAGAGAAAATTTATTCGGTTTGCCCTTCAGCCGCTTTGATTCTCTGACTCTCTTTCGCCCTATATAGCTCGTTGCAAGCTTATAGATTTAAACTCTCTTGAGTGTAGAAGCCATGTCCATTCCCTTATGTTTGTTTATGACCTGATTTCTGGCGTCATTGATTGTCCGGAATTACTTGTGCATATCGGTTTGTCCCGCCGTTTTATGTTATCCCTGCTAAAGCTAATTATTGGGCTCAATCCCCGATTTGGAGGGCTCTTAATGAACTTAATGCAATTTCAAAAAATTTAAATATTGAATTTTCTATTAGTAGGCAGTCTTTCAGAAGTTTAATTGAATCTGTGTACTCCTAGTGTAGTTCTTAATTTTTTACCTATTAATTTTATTCTAGTCTGTTAGATTCTTTGTAATCATAGACTCAATAAACATTGAATTTAATTGAAAAAAAAAATCGAAACGAGAGTGATGTGCAGTGTTCAATTGTGATCGAAATTGCAGGCAAAATTTGGGCGTGTGTAATTAATGTTTTACTTATTTGAAGAAATGTTGCCCCTTGCCATTAAAAAATAAATAAATCAAGACCACCGCTTCCCACTGGTGGTTACATAATACTTGAATAGCGCCTTAAATAACATGTGCTTGTTTTGTGCACGCACGGTCAGTTAAACAGGCATGTCTGATTCGATTTCCTTCAACATTCTTAGCAATTTGATGTGCATACCCTGAAGTACGGGGGAGCGACTACAGGACTGCTGAATCGGTAGCTACGTAATAAACTCCGTCAATTACCGACCGACTACTTGCAGTGTATTTCATCGATTACTTTTACAAGGCAATGTCCTAGGCGGTAGTCACCATCGGCTCTCTCTGCACCACCGGGAGTTACTAAAGTAGTCACTTGGGTGATTTATGGGCGCCCTCTGTTGTAGTTCTTCGCTATCTGGTTCGACTCTGCACTACCATGTGCACTACCACGGGTTAATAGAGTAGCTACTTACCTAGGAGTCGGTGCAGTAGCGGTTCAAAAGTTGCGATTGACTCCAGCAGTACTGGAATATATTTATTGTTATCTGTTGCAAAGAGACATTTTATATCGATTCTACAATAGCGCAGTGGCAGTGGCAGCGGCAGTTTTTCGAACTTTTACTGCGTGTTAAAAACTCCCTCCAGTACTGCTGGAGTCAATCGCTACTTTTGAACCGCTACTGCACAGACTCCTAGGTAAGTAGCTACTCTATTAACCCGTGGTAGTGCATATGGTAGCGCAGAGTCGAACCAGATAGTGAAGAACTAGGACAGAGGGCGCCCATAAATCACCCAAGTGACTACTTTAGTAACTCCCGGTAGTGCAGGGAGAGCCGATGGTGACTACCGCCTAGGACATTGCCTTGTAAAAGTAATCGATGAAATACACTGCAAGTAGTCGGTCGGTAATTGACGGAGTTTATCACATATCTACCGATTCAGCAGTCCTGTAGTTGCTCCCCCGTACTGCAGGGCTGTCACTGCCACTGCCACTGTGCTATCGCTATTAGGAACTAAATAGCTTCTAAAATCTCTGTACACAGGCGCACTTATTTTTAGCAGTTTCCAGTTTATGTAATATTAATCAAAACAGCTTTTATTTATTTTATGTATTATGTGATTACTGGAAGCTTCTTCTTCTTCTTATTTGGCGCTGTAACCGCCTAAGCGATTTTGGCCGAGTCCAAAACAGCACGCCAGTCATTTCTCTTCTGTGCTAACTGACGCCAATTGAAAATGCCAAGTGAAGCCAAGTCCTTCTCCACCTGGTCTTTCCAACGCAGAGGAGGCCTTCCTCTTCCTCTGTTACCAGCATCGCGGCCCGCGTTGAATATTTTCAGAGCAGGAGCGTTTCTGTCCATCCGAACGACATGGCCAAGCCAGCGGAGCCGCTGAATTTTAATTCGCTGCACTATGTCTATATCGTTGTAAAGCTCATACAGCTCATCGTTAAATCGTCTGCGATATTCGCCATCACCAACGCGTAAAGGTCCGTAAATCTTTCGCAGAATCTTTCTCTCGAAAACTCCAAGAGCCGCCTCATCAGATGCTTTCATTGTCCATGCTTCCGCGCCATACACCAGCACAGGCATGATGAGTGACTTATAGAGTGTGATCTTTGTACGACGAGAGAGGACTTTACTTCTCAATTGCCTACTCAGCCCAAAGTAGCACTTGTTGGCAAGAGTGATTCTCCGTTGGATTTCAAGGCTGACATTATTATTGGTGTTAATGCTGGTTCCCAAATAAACGAAGTCGTCTACTTTTTCAAACTTGTAACTGTTAACAGTGACGTGGGTGCCAAGACGCGTATGCTCTGACTGTTTGTGTGCTGACAGGAGATACTTCGTTTTGTCCTCGTTCACCACCAGACCCATTCGCTTTGCTTCTCTATCCAATCCCGAGAAGGCAGAACAGACGTAGCCCTTGTTTTTACCGATAATATCGATGTCGTCGGCATACGCCAGCAATTGTACGGTCTTATAAAGTATTGTGCCTGAGCGGTTCAGTTCTGCGGCTCTTATTATCTTCTCCAACATAAGATTAAAGAAATCACACGAAAGGGAGTCCCCTTGTCTGAAACCTCGTTTGGTATCAAACGGCTCGGAGAGGTCCTTCCCTATTCTGACGGAGCTGGTGGTATTGCTCAACGTCATTTTACACAGCCGTATTAGTTTCGCGGGGATACCAAATTCAGACATCGCGGCATAAAGGCAACTTCTCTTCGTGCTGTCGAAAGCGGCTTTGAAATCGACAAATAGATGGTGTGTGTCGATCCTATTCTCGCGGGTCTTTTCCAAGATTTGGCGTATTGTGAATACCTGATCTATGGTGGATTTTCCAGGCCTAAAGCCACACTGATAAGGTCCAATCAGCTCGTTGACGGTGGGCTTCAGTCTTTCGCACAATACGCTCGATAAGACCTTGTAACCTATGCTTAGAAGGCTAATTCCGCGGTAGTTGGCGCGTATGGCGGGGTCGCCTTTCTTGTGGATTGGGCAGAGCACACTTAAATTCCAGTCGTCGGGCATGCGTTCATCTGACCATATTCTGCATACGAGCTGATGCATGCACCTCATCAGCTCCTCGCCGCCGTACTTGAATAGCTCGGCTGGCAGGCCGTCAGCTCCAGCAGCTTTGTTGTTTTTCAGCCGCGTAATCGCTATTCGTACCTCGTCATAGTCAGGCGGTGGGACAGCTACTCCATCATCATCGACTGGGGACTCGGGTTCGTCTTCCTCACTACTTTCAGCGCTGCTACCATTCAGTAGGTTATAAAAGTGTTCCCTCCACAATTTAAGTATATTCTGGACATCGGTCACTAGGTCGCCATTGTTGTTCTTACAGGAGTTCGCCCCGGTCTTGAAACCTTCCGTAAGTCGCCTAACCCTCTGGTAGAATTTTCGGGCGTTCTTCCTGTCGGCCAGCATCTCAAGCTCTTCGCACTCACGTATTTCGGCCTCTCTCTTCTTATTGCGGCAAATACGTCTCGCTTCCTTCTTCAGTTCCCTATAACGGTCCCACATGGCTCGCGTTGCGCCCGATCGCAGCGTGGCCCTGTAGGCGGCATCTTTTTTCTCTGCGGCTTCTTGACATTCCTCATCGTACCAGTTGTTCTTTCGGGCTCGCTGAAATCCAACTACTTCTTCGGCGGCGGTACTTAATGATCGGGAAATGTGGTTCCACTGCTCGCGTACGTCGGATTGTTGAAGAGTGCTCTCAGAGAGCAGGTGTGTGAGTCGAGTGGCGAATAAATTGGCCGTCTGTTGTGATTGCAGCTTTTCGACGTTAAGCTTTCCTTGCATTGTTGGGCGCACATTTTTTGCTGCACAGAGGCGGGTGCGTATCTTGGCTACAACAAGATAGTGGTCCGAGTCGATGTTTGGCCCTCGGAGTGTACGTACGTCCAAAACGCTTGAAGCATGCCTTCCGTCTATCACAACATGATCGATTTGGTTTCTCGTTTTTCGATCTGGAGACAGCCATGTAGCTTGGTGGATGTTCTTATGCTGGAACCTAGTACTACATATTACCATATTTCGGGCCCCGGCGAAGTCGATCAGCCTCAGTCCGTTATCGGACGTTTCGTCGTGGAGGCTGAATTTTCCGACAGTGGCGCCAAAGATCCCTTCCTTGCCCACCTTGGCATTAAAATCGCCAAGCACGATTTTGACATCGTGTCGGGGGCAGCGCTCATATGTACGTTCCAAGCGCTCATAGAAGAGATCCTTGGACGCCTCATCCTTCTCTTCCGTCGGGGCATGGGCGCAGATGAGCGAGATGTTGAAGAATCTAGCTTTGATGCGGATTGTGGCTAGACGTTCGTCCACCGGGGTGAACGCCAGTACTCGGCGACGGAGTCTCTCTCCTACCACGAATCCAACACCGAATTTGCGCTCCTTTACGTGGCAACTGTAGTAGACGTCGCAAGGCTTCACGCTTACTTTACCTTGCCCCGTCCATCGCATTTCTTGGATGGCGGTGATGTCAGCCTTTGTCTTCCCGAGGACATCAACCAGCCGGGCAGAGGCACCTTCCCCATTAAGGGTCCGGATATTCCAGGTGCATACCCTTAAATCATAGTCCTTTATACGTTTGCCGTGGTCGTCATCAGAAAAAGGGGGTCTCATCCGAGGCTGTTTGTTTCTTTTCATTGGGCGGGGTTTTAACGTGGCGGGACCCAAACCCAGCGCACGCGAAGTTTTACGCCTTCTCACTTTAGCTCGCTCCCAAACGGGTGTTTGGTTGCTACCCAGAGGATACGTGGATATAAATATCCGGACGTTGTGAGCTGCGATTTGAACCGTACGCACAAGAATCGCTTCTGGCCACTCCCAGGTGAATGGCAGTCAAAAGTTTTCCACTTCTGCGCACGGAACCATCCTCGATTACTGGAAGCGCCGAATACAAAAAAGGGCTGTGACTGGGTTTACGTAATTTAAAATTGTTTTGAGGATTACTAATAATAATAGAAAGGCGTTTACATATCGATGGTCCTCTGCAATAACACAACTCAAAATTTCATATATTTCAGTAGAGCCAATTAAAGATTTTTTGGTTCGTAATTTAGCATCAATATGTCTTGAAACGTAATTATTCCGGATTATTTGCAGTCACACTGTAAGCTTTCAAATTATGTCTTTTTCTAAAGATTCAGTAAGTGCTGGACTGCAAAAATACGACATAAGTAACAACTCGTATGTAGTTAAACGAAAAAGGTTCCATTTGTGTTGCTGAACAACGGCACAAAACGAAAAATGTCGTTATTTTACAGTTTTTGACTTATGCCAATATTCACAATTAATGTTAAACATTTGCCACTGTTCAGTAGTAAGGGTTGGCTACTTCGGTTTTTTGCCAAATGGCAAAACCTTGCCTCGGCCGGATTGGTAACAACAAAGCCTATGTCGATTTGCCACAGAAGAATATGGTTATTTATAAACCTAATCCACTATATAACTCAAAAACATGAAATCTTTAGTTGTGCCGTTATTGCAGAGGACCATCGACATATGTAAGTGTTTGGCCGAGCTACTCCTCCGATTGTGGCATGCGCCTCGATGTTGTCGCACAAAGGGGAGGGACCCACAGTTTTACGCCGACTCCTGCCGGGGGCCAACCACTATTACAAAAAACAATTTCTTTTTTATGTTGGCCCGAACTGGGCTCGAACCCTCACCCTGCGGAATGGTAGTGCGCACTTCTAACCACTACACCACAGCGATCGCTTAATTAATTTTAATCATTGATCGCGATTAACCATTTATTCGTTAATTTTTCATCATTCATAGACTAACATTTTGCCGACAATATTCGCATAAGATAGTCCCAAATTTTCACAAAAGAGAAAAGTGATTTTCTTCAAAACTTTTGAANGTAGTGCGCACTTCTAACCACTACACCACAGCGATCGCTTAATTAATTTTAATCATTAATCGCGATTAACCATTTATTCGTTAATTTTTAGTCATTCATAGACTAACATTTTGTCGACAATACTCGCATAAGATAGTCCCAAATTTTCACAAAAGAGAAAAGTGATTTTCTTCAAAACTTTTGAATGACGTCTTGACTGAACTTACTAATTCGGAATTTCTACTATTACTTATAGAGTAGGCTATTCATAAAATCTGGGTAATGAAATAAACATTTTTCTATTATAAGTTCCATAAATATTAGGAGACTTTTATTGTTTAATTTATTTTTTGCACATAAACTTGTATCTTGAACTTCCTTTTCCAAAAAGTGAGGATGTCAAAATTTTAATAGATATCGGATGTACGAAATTTTCTAAAAAGATCTCTTAATATATTAGTTCATGAAAATTATTCCAAACGAAAACTTAAAATTGATAAAAAAAATCATAACTAAATTTAACTAATTTATATTAGAGGTTTTAAGTTTATCCCACTGTAAGTGTGAAATCAGTTGCTATGTGTTTCCATGATACAAAAAACAACCTGACAATTAAGCAGATTGTAAAATTTTATGCTACCATACTCAGTATCTAAAATCCTTCAAATTTTATTATTAATTTTTTGTTTCTTTAAAAACATTTTATTNTGCAACTTGAACTCCACATAGCACGTTGCAGTTATCGTCGAAAAATAAAAAAACTATACAATCAAACTTCTAAATAAATGCGTGAGTTTTCGTTGGGCACAAGTTTTTGCTTCTTTGCTTTCAAACAACAACAAATTTACACAAAATGAGCCCGCAATATACAAAGCAGATGCAATTGATTTATTTTTTTTTATTAAGAATACGCCATTTTTACACAACAGAGAAAAAAACAGAATTTAGAGGTCAGCGCAACACTTTATGGTCACAATTGCCGCATGCTCGAACAATCGTGTGATAAGTTTGGGGCAATTATTGTCACTATATTGCTTTTCTCCAACTTACGGCAATGAGAATTGTATAGAAAGAGGCAACCGTGTGACTGTACAGAATTTCATTGGGACAATTTTTTTATTGTGCTCCAATACAGCACAATAAAAATTGTTCCAGATTGGTCCATTTGCGGCAATCGTGGGATCTCAGCTTTAGAATCGAAATTTTACCAATCAAAATGTATTTTTTTTTTAAATAAATGAGGCTAATGCTCAATAAGTTGATAAATGTTGTTCTCAGTGAAATATATT